TGTGCTTAGGGTCTACTCTAATAACCTCATTTGAACTTAATTACCTCTTTAAAGATCCTATTTTGAAATATGGTCATATTCTGAGGTACTAGGGGTTAGGACTTCAGCATATGAATTAGGAGGATGGGGAATACACAATTCAGATCATAATAAGTCTAAATATTTGGCTTTTTCTCTCCAGATTACCCAGTTTCCCTAAAGTGACAACCCACACCCAGTGAGTGGCTGATGTAGTGCTATAAAGGTTCCACTTGCCCCAAATTCAGGCTAACTCCGTAAAGCCATCCCAGCCCCAGAGCTCCCTGTGCCATGAGCTGAGTTCTTTGTTATGAGAGTATCACAGCTCCCCTCTACCTCATCCTACTTCCTCACTCCCTCACAAGTGTTGGGTCCTTATACATTTGCCAAAGAACTCAACCTGTGACAACTTTAGTTCAATAGATTTGACACTTTCCTTGCAAGGGAACTCTTGGTTTCTTACTATTATTGTCAGTTGTCCTCATTAACAAGGTCATTTAATACCTAGCTGCAAATTACTGAAAGTTTCTTTGGAACGACAATTTTTCTTATAGACTTTAATGATTATTCTAGCTAAAGGTCATTTTTTTTTTCCTCTGAACTTCTGTAGGACAGCCCTGTACAATTTAGTACTTTAATGATGATTTGTATTTTTTGCTCATTCACATTTGTGAATGATTTAAGATTGCACGTTTCCTGAAAGTTGATATGCTTCTATCATATTTTTTTTCTGTTCTTCAAAATGTGTAACATAGTTTCAGAGCTCTAGTTGGTACTTAAGGAATTTGGGAGCATACAGTAGTGTAGACGCCCCAGAATTTTTAAATGAGAGTGTGGAATCTGAATTATAAAACTCATATTAGGGAAAGCCTACACTGGGAAAAGAAACTGCATATGTGGTATAAAATAAATAGAAGATCTGTGTTTGAATATTGACTATGCTGTTTACCCACTATGTGATCTTATAAAAGTTACTTACCCTCCCTGAGCCTGAGTTTTCTCATCCATAAAATAGGAATATTATTAATAGCAATCTTATAAAGTTGCTGTGAATGTTAAATGAGGTGCAGTATTAAATAAGATGCATGCAGTATTTAGCACATGATTCAGTCATAAAATGGATATTATTACCTTCACACTTCAATCTTTCTGAATTCATGATGCATCTTGTGATTAGTGTCAAAAGAAATTTGTCAGTTTTATGCAAGGAAGTGGAGCATGATATGTTAATAGTTCTTAAGGTCTATATGAGTGGACTTTGTCATCACAGAAGATAACTATTCACCCAGTTACTTGCCTCAGTTAAATACCTTGTAGTTGTGACAGAATCTTAAATTTGGATACCTAATTATTATTTTAAAGTGTCCCCAAAAGGATTACATTATAATCCAAAGACATAGCTTTAACATAAATGGTTACAGTGGAGCAGATTGCCTATCATATGCCAAGTAATTCAGTTAAAGATAATGGAAAATATTTTAGAATTAGCTGTATAACTTTCAAAATTAGAAAAAGTTGTATAACCAATTGATGAATTAGGAACACCAAATTCTAAATCTAATCCTAAAGAAGCAATCAAACAAACCCAAATTGAGGGTCATTCTACAAAATAACTGATCTGTGTTCTTCAAAAATGTCAGTGTCTGGGAAAGCAAAGCAAAGCAAAGTTGAGGAATTATTTAGAGTTAACAGAGACTAAACCAGTATGACAACTAAATAAAATATATGGTCTGGATTGGATCTTGAATTAGAAAAAATAAAATTGCCATGAAGGACAAATTAGAACAATTGGTAAAATATGGTATGGACAGTTTGATTATCATATTGCATCAATGTTAAATTTTCTGAATTTTCTTATTATACTTACTATATTATATAAAATTCTTAAATACTATAATTAATCTAATTGTACTGACTTATTTAAGAGTTTTCACAGGTTAAGTTCCTCAGCAAGTTTATAAGGACTCAACACTTGTGAGGGAGTGAGGAAGTAGGATTAGGGAGAAAGGGGAGCTGTGATACTCTCATAACAAAGAACTCAGCTCATGGCACAGGGAGCTCTGGGGCTGCGATGGCTTTATGGAGTTGTCCTGAATTTCGGGCAAGTGGAGCAGACCTTTATACCACTGCATCAGCCAGTCACTGGGTGTACGCTGCCCCAGGGAAGAGTGCATGACATTCATCAAAGTGTGTCTCTTTAGCCAAGGACAATTTCCAGAAGGGGATTCAGCTGCAAGCTGTTCATTGCCAAAACTCTTCAGCTGATGGGGAGAATTAGTAGTTCAGTCCTAAAGAGGGAGGAGGAATATAGGTGTCAGACCACAGCATCCACTCTGGTTATCATAGCTGTAATTTACTTTAAAATGATTCAGTAAGTAGAATGATGTGAGAACAAAGATAATACCAGAAATGCACAAAAGCAAGAAAGAAAGATCTCAAATTAGCAAAATACGAAAAAACCGGTGAATCTGGGTGAAGTACTGTTTTCAGCTTTTCTGTAGGTCTGAAATATTTTTTAAAAAGTTTAAAAAATGAAATTCCCAGGTGATACCAGTACACTAGCAGATTGGAGGACTGTGGAATGAAGTCATCTTTAGAATTCATCCCAGCGCTAGCATGATGGAATCTGTGACTTGGTCAGATTGGTTATGGTGCATTTGCTTTGGGCTCTTGAAGCCATGGAACCACACAGCATATTTCCTACATGTTTGTTTTGTCCATAAGTTCTCAAACTTTAATCATATTGTTTAATTAAATGGGTTTGAGGGATTGTAATACCAACCCTGGATTTATAAATAAAACTGTTCTTTCCTCTATTTTGATGATCAACAGTGGGCAAGTTTCTGTATTAAAGATCAATTACCCATCTGAAGAAAAACAGGGAAGCTGAGAATATTTAAGATACATTTATTGAGATGATTTAAGACAAAATTATTAGACCTCATAGTTAATGAAACTGTGTTGTAATAGATACATATTGTCAATAGTTTATTGAAAAACTGCAAGCAAAGCAAATGTCTTTGCCTTTATTAAAAGCCAGGGGAAGATATAGCGGGCTCAAATATTTAATATGTTTCTTTTTAATTATGAAATAATCTTTAGAATATTTATTTATTATGAAATACATTTTAAAATATTGCTTAATTCTAAAACATGATTTAAAATAAACTATTTCTCTGTAGTTTTTACCGAGTCCTTATCTCACTAGGCTGGAATATTGATCCCAACTACATCTTGTTTTAGATGTGAGGATGGTCATGTCTTTCCACTCTGTTTTCAATGTTACATCAAAAAGTCTCAATTCAAGGGCATTGAAGACAGTTATTTTCTTATGAAAGGTTTGCCAACTCCTTTCTTATAGGGATCTTGCTGAATGCATTCAGCAAACATTTTTAAGCATAGACTTTAGAGTCAGTCTCCCTGGATCCGAATTCCAGTTCTAACATGTAGCTATGTGCTCTTTGGAAAACTACTTAACTGCTCTGTATCTTAGTTTCCTCATCCATAAAATATAATACTTATAGAATTAATAGTTCATATTATCTATGTTATAGAGTTATTTTGAATATTAAATGAGTTATAATATGTAGAACACCAGGCATGTAATAAGTACTTAATAAGTTTTAGATATTATTATTGTCATCATTATTAGATATTCATACTGCATACTAGAATCACATGTTTTAACTTAGATCATTATTATTATATTGATTTTATAAAAATAAAGATGCACGTTAATTAAATGTTAATCCAAAATCACCAAGGTCATCTAACTAGTGAAGGAGGAGAGCTGGAATTCAAACTTCAAGCCCAATTTTCTTTTCACTTTTGTGCACTCATGGGTGGGAGAATTCCAGTGTTTTTTTTTGTCAGCCTCCCAGGACCAGCAGTAGATTACCGTTTGGAATGGGCTTAGATAGATCCTGCCACCTCCAATGTGTTTGTACATGTAATCCTGCATGCTGCAGATGTGAGTATCTGGGGACTTTATTTTCTATCAGATTATACATTATTGAGAGCACAGTCTAAGTCTTATTGGTATTTGTGTCCCATGCACTGCTTAGTGCAATGCTTTGAAGATAATAATTGTTCAGAAATTATTTGTCAAAAGCATTCCTGAACAAAATTACTATTGATGTTTAACATAGTTAGATCGGGCGCAGTGGCTGACACCTGTAAATCCCAGCACTTTGGGCGGCCGAGGCGGGTGGATCACAAGATTAGGAGATCGAGACCATCCCGGTTAACGTGGTGAAATCCTGGCTCTACTAAAAATACAAAAAATTAGCTGGGCATGGTGGCGGGCGCCTGTAGTCCCAGCTACTCGGGAGGCTGAGGCAGGAGAATCGCTTGAACCCGGGAGGTGGAGGTTGCAGTGAGCTGAGATCGTGGCACTGCACTCCAGCCAGGGCAACAGAGCGAGACTCCATCTCAAAAAAAAAGTAAACAAAACAAAACAAAACAAACATAGTTGATGGTTATGTTTTAGTTTTACATGTTGCTATTCCAACATTTAGTAGGGATGCAATAGCCAAGACTCAAGCTTCCCACAAGGAATTAAACAATTTGAACTTTGCTTTGTCCACCAAAACATTCATCCCATTATGGTTTTGTGTAAAATAAGCCTTATTTTCTGTCTATAAATAGATTATTTCAAAACGTTAATTAGTGTGGCCAGACCTGATAATAGTTTCCTGATTTATAACTAGATCTTTTAATTTATCTAATCTTAAAGCTTTGTATTATTCTTTTCTCCTTATGAACTTATTGCCATTTGGATCAAGCTTGTCCAATCCTCAACCCACAGGCTGCATGCGGCTCAGGACGGCTTTGAATGTGGCCCAGCATAAATTTGTAAACTTTCTTAAAACATTATGAGTTTTTTTTTTTTTTTTGCGTGTTTTTTCTTCTTTTAGTTCATCAGTTATTGTTAGTGTTAGTGTATTTGATGTGTATCCCAAAGACAATTCTTTTTCTTCCAGTGTGGCCCAGGGAAGCCAATGTGGATACCCCTGATTTAGATGATAGTCCGCTTCTGCCACTTCGTTGAGCTTCATTTACCTGATCTGCCACATGCAAAGGTTAGATAAGATGGCTTCTAAACTATGACTTTGTAAATTTTTGCTCTTTATAAGAAGATAATTTATATGTAAACCAGTTTACTTCCATACTAACCGAGATTGTCTCCTTTCACAGTAGTGAATCAGATTGCTATCCATTTGGCCTGGTCATTTGAGTCTTGCTAATTGGTCTATGAGAAACATTACCAAAATTTTGAATCTGCTCTTTAGGGGGACATTTAGGTGAACCAGTGTGAACTGATATTTTAGGATTGTGTCCAATTGAATGTGTGTGTGTGTGTGGTGGGGGAGTTGAGGTTTGCCACATGATTAGTTTTTCATCTAATTTTAATATTAATTATTTGGAGAGTCCTAGTAATTGTTCATGTATTTCTTCTTAAACACAATATAAACAGACCCATTATTAGGATTCAAACTTTGAACTGTATCCTTTCCTCCTTCCTTCCCAACTCCTTTCTCTGTCCCTACTCCTCCCTCCTTTCTTTCTCTCTCCTTCTTCCTTTTCTTCCTCTCCCTTCTCTCCCTTCTTTCCTCTCCCCTCCAAATACTCTCTCCTTTCTCCTTCCCTTTCTTCCTCCCTCCCTTGCTTACTCACTCCTTTCCTTCCTTCTAAGAAAGTTTAATGAGAATCCACTGTGAGGCACTTTTCTGAGGACTTAACGATTCAAGCTTTAAATAAGGTCTAGTCCTTGTCCTCAGGTAGCTCTTAGACTCATAGGGCACACAGAAAAGAACAGATACTAATCATAAAATAAGTTGGTAAGTACAGCAATATCAAAAACACTGTGTTCTTATAGGGTTAGATAGAATTTAGGGTTAGGAAGCATTCCAAATGAGGTGATAGTTGGGATGAGACTAGTCAGATGAGTATGGTCATGGTAACAATATATACAATATATATACTATATATATACACACACTATATATACAATATATACTCTCTCTATATATAATGCCTATACACACACACACACACATATATTTCCCCAAACACCTTTTACTGAACTTCTTGAGTTTCATGACTGCCCTTTAGAACTTGGAAAAGAACGCAAGCTACAATAAAGAAAAATATGCCTGTCCAAACAAATTTGAAAGGTCAGCTCTCAGTCTATCCAACTGAGATTCTTGTCGTACACTTGATTCTTTTAGTGTAACACCCCCATGGTTTGAAGGGAAACATGCCCTTTAGAAAACAGGACAGACCGTCATGGGTTGGGTTTGTCAAACGTTTTTAGTACCCTGGGTTTTATCAAAATAACGCCATCCAGTTTTGCCAACAGCTTTGCTCCTCACTTAAAAAGCCCTCATATTTCAGTCCATGTGTTTCATATTCATTTAGACATCTCATCACGCTAGAGTTGGGTAGGAATTGTTTAGTGTCCAAAACGTCTTTCCTACTAGCCTTTGATTCTTAGAAATAAAGATTATGCTGGGTGTGGTGGCTCACACCTATAATCCCAGCACTTTGGTAGGCCAAGGAGGGCGGATCACTTGAGGTCAGGAGTTCAAAACCAGCCTGGGCAACATGGTGAAACCCTATCTATACTAAAAATACAAAACTTAGCTAGGTGTGGTGGTGCTTACCTATAGTCCCAGCTACTCGGGAGACTGAGAATTGCTTGAACCCAGGAGATAGAGGTTGCTGTGTGCTGAAATTACACCACTGCACTCCAGCCTGGGTGAAGAGTCTCAGAGTGAGACTCTCAAAAAAAAAAAAAAAAAAAAAGAATGAATGAAAGAATTACACTTTACCAAATGTAAATGAATTTCAGACCCTTACTTTTCAAAGGGACTTTGCAGATCTCCTTGTGCTGTAGGCAAATCTGGAAAAATCTGTATGTCCCTATCCCGATTCTAGAGATACTCAGGCATGGGAGCCTTTCTCAAAGTGATCTCCCTACATTAGAATCCCCCAGGGGTTCTTAAAAATGCCTCTTTATGGGCTCCAATACAGATTTACTAAATTTGAATGCCTTCTTGTTTTATATAATGTGATTCTTTAGAAGGAACTGCACATTCACTTAGTGAATATGTACAGTATATTTATATAGTGAATAGGTACGATATAAGAATATATAGGTAAATATATATACACATATATAAATATATAGGTAAATATATACATACATACATAAATATAAATATATATTACTATATATATTTATATATAGTACCTATTCAGTAAGTGTTAGCTGTTATTATCCAGATGCCTTATAGATGTCTCAATTTGATATCCAACAGACATTTGGAGCTCACCTTGTCTAAAATTGAACTCATGATCATCCCTCCAAATGTAGTCAAAACTATGCCTTGTCTCAGGGGGCAGGGTGCCACCATTGCCGAATCTAGAAACCCCAGCAGTTACTTGCCTCTCACTTCCAATGGCTCAATATGTCCTAGTTAGATTTTATCTCTAACATCTTTCTAATTAATTCCCTCGTTGTCATGCCTTCTGCCACTGGCAGGTTAGATCTACAACATCACCTCCACCCTCATCCAGATTACTACAATCACCTCTTTCCTTTGCTTTCAGTCTTCCAGTTTCTTCAGAGGACTAGTCCATCCTCCACACTTAAATATATATCTGATGGTGCCACCTCCCTTTTTGACTGCCTGGGCTCAAGCCATGATTCCTTATTAATGTCTAGGATGAAGTTTAACTTTTACTTTAATGCCCACAGCCCTTGTGATTGGTCTCTTTCTTACCTGTGCAGTTTATCTCTCACTACCAGATGTGAATCCTTTGCTCTAACCCTACAGATAAAGTTCTCCAAATGTGTTCCCCTCTTCCATGCTTTTATGTACTCAGTTATCCTCTGTCATTCCTATTCCCTTCCATGTGTCACCCTCTCCTAACTTCTTTTAGCTCTTACGTTTTCTTCAGAATCAGCTTTGATATGACCTCTTCTTTAAAGTCTTCCCCTATCAGTCTGATTTAATTGCCACTATCCTTAGCAGAGTGTAGTAAGTACTTAGCATAATATAATAAATAATACAATTTATCATTTATTTATTTTTGGGGAGAGGTCAAGTGGAGTTTACCACACTATTGTTAGTTATAAAGCTTATTTTGAGACCTGTTCTTTCCACATTTACTCTAGAACTTTCTAAATTTATGAAAGTAGTTGATCTTTGGAATGCCAATTACATTTAGAGGGAGGTATCTGAGGGCTCCATAAGGCTTGCTGAAGTGCTGCTGATGACGTTCTGTATCTTCATCTGGGTGGCGCTCTATGAATATGTACATATGCAAATGAATTATTCTCTATTCTTAAATATGTGCACTTGACTATAAGTCATACTGTATTTTTTAAAAAGTGAATAAAAGTAGCTGACCTTTTATTTTTAACTATAAAATTCTCTTTTCTGTTTTGTCTATTGAATGATATCGTGGGTGCCTTGCTTCCCGAGCACAACGTTAAATGCCGTTATAGCAAGGCACGTTTAGCTTCCTGGGGAAAAGGGCTTTTAAAATTTTAACTTCTCACTAGGCAATGAAATAATAAAATGGGATTAATTGGAGAGGTAGTTTAATACTTGCTTTACTAATGTTTCTCCTCCCCAAATATTTATTTAATTTTGGTAGGTATTAATCTTGTTACTATTGTGATACTCTTTTTAGCTCTTCAAGGTTACCAGAAGTAAAGATTCTTATGAATTATCCCATTAAAAATTATTTAAAATATAGATAAAAAATAAACCGTTACTTCTGAATTTTCAGCTTCAGGTCTTAACTCTTTGACTTAATCATTGTACTACATGATCTGCAAACTCTTAGTCCTGAGGGTCTATGATTTCACTTGGAGTGTTTTCTTTGAAGAGACTTTATTGATTAAGCATTGCATTCATTTCCTATTTCTTTGAAAAGTAAATTCCCTTTGAAAGTAGACTTATAAACATAGATTATGTTGCTTGCTATTGTATCTCCAGCACTTAAAACAGCCTCTGACACATAGTTGATGCCGAAGTATAGTAACAGTAATATTGAGGCACACCCGAAATATGGGCCTCTTTATTTGGTAATTATGTTTATATATACAAAGCAACCCAATGCTATATCTTACCTAGATTTACTTCTAATTTAAAATTCATGGATCACAGCACAGCCATATTTCTGGGAGATGGAAGCATCAATTTCGTTGTTATTGTGGCATTAGAACAAGTCTTGGTTTGACTGGAAAATCATAAGTAAATCTGGACTCAGTCCAAGTTTTATCAAATAACCTTGAAACTTTTAGATTTGAGTTAATCTCCTTGTACTGTAGGCAAGTAGAAACAATAAAATTGAAATACTATTTTTCCTTTTTATAATAGTATTAAAATTAAGAATGAAGTAAAATCTATAGTCATTGAAAAATTAAAACATACGAATTTAAGATGATATTATTAAATATTTTTGGCTAGTGCTGATAATAATTTGCAATAACCAGATAATGTGTATTTTCAGGTCCTAGTCATACTTGTTAGGATTTTAGAGATAAATTATATTAATAGCTATTTCTCAGAGCAACTGTTTCTAGAAAGAATATAGAAAATAATTTACTCATACTGTAGAAAATGTGTTTTTTCATGAAATATAAGAATGTATTTATTGGGCATATATTCAGTATATTCTGACTAAATTCAGCTTAGCACTCTTCTTTTTCAAAAAATATATGGCTGGTTGCGGTGATCCCAGCACTTCGGGAGGCAGAGGTGGGTGGATCACTTGAGGTTGGAAGTTTGAGACCAGCCTGGCCAACATGGTGAAACCCTGTCTCTGCTAAAACTACAAAAATTAGCTGGACGTGGTGGTACATGCCTGTAATCCCAGCTATTCAGGAAGCTGAGGCAGGAGAATTGCTTGAACCTGGGATGCAAAGGTTGCAGTGAGCCAACATCGTACCATTGCACTCCAGCCGGGGCAACAAGACTGAAACTCCATCTCAAAAAAGAAAAAAAGAAGAAAAAACAGGAAACGCAAAAGAAGTAGCTGTTTTCTTGCCATTCACTTAGTATGCCGTTATTGTTTTTCCAGATCTGTACTGGGTTTTGCGGAAAATATGGAAAGATTAGTAAACATGGTACTTAAATTGAAAGGGTTTACAACCTTGTAGGATAAATAAGCCATATCTGTGGCATTTTTATTGAACAGTTTTCTTGTTATTAACTAGTTTTCAAATCCACTAAATAAATTCTTACGAAGGCTAAAACTCCAGCCTATTAAAATCCCTTTGAGTTAGTTTCCCAGGTAGGTTATTAACAAATATAAGTGATGCTGCCTTCATTTTCTGAGTTTTTGTTGGTCAGTAGTTTCTATTGACTGGTACTTCTTCGTTTTACATTTAAAATAGTTATTTCAAGTATTTGCTATTAGAATGCTGTAAAATATCGATAGAAATGCTTTCTATATCATCAGAATTAAATAAGTGATTAAATTTGGTTGAATTTAATTTTAAGGTTAAATAGCTTAAACTTTTTATCTCCATGTTTGTAGTCCCCTGGAGGAAAGACATGACATGTTTTACTTTCTTGCATACCCCAAGCATTATGTTTGTGCAAACAATGATACAGTTTTTCCCCCCAAAAGCTAAAGGCGTGGGTCACATCTATAATCACAGCACTCTGGGAAGCAGAGGTGAGAGGATCGCTTGAGGCCAGGAGTTCGAGACCAACCTGGGCATCATAGGAAGACCCCATCTCTACCAAAAAACAAAAGATAAAAAAATTAGCTGAGCACAGTGGCATGTGCCTATAGTTGCAGCTACTCGAGAGGCTGAGGTGGGAGTGTGGTTCAAGCCTAGGAGATCCAGGCTGCAGTGGGCCATGATCACACAACTGTGTTGTAGGACTTTCTCCTTAGTTTAGCTAAAAACCAGGTTCTTGTCACATGGACATGAAATATTAGGCTCGCAGACACTTTGAAGAGTGAGAAAACTGGAGTTTATTGGGCGAAAGGGAAAAAAGGGAAACACAGACTCTCAGGAAAGTGAGAGTCCTGCTAGCTGGTTTCCTGTCTCATAGATTGAATGGCAGGTTACTACCCTGGATCAGAAAGGCCAGGCTCCTCCCAGATGCAAAGGGCATGAACTTCCTGAGGCCCCACCCCAGTGCACACTCCTCCCAGCGGCGGGCTGGTTGGAGGTTCTGCCAGGGGTCCCTTTTTACTTGGCTGTCTCAACTGCACTCCAGCATGGGAAACAGGGAGGCCTTGTCTTGAAAAAAATAAAAAATAAATGTCCGGGCACAGTGGCTCACACCTGTAATCCCAGTACTTCGGAATGCCAAGGTGGGTGGATCACCTGAGGTCAGGAGTTCGAGACCAGCCTGGCCAACATGGCAAAACCACGTCTCTACTAAAAATACAAAAAATTAGCCGGGCGTGGTGCTGGGCACCTGTAATCCCAGCTGCTCGGGAGGCTGAGGCAGGAGAACCGCTTGAACCCGGGAGGCGCAGGTTACAGTGAGACGAGATTGCACTACTGCTCTCCAGCCTGGGCAACAAGAGCGAAATTCTGCCTCAATAAATACATAAATAAATAAGAAAAAATTTAAAATTAAATAAAGAAGGCTAAAGGCTATTAGAAATTATTATATACTAAGATAAATTTAACAATAATTATGTAAGATGCAGCGATGCTGTTTTAATTATACAAAGAAAAAACAAATTTAAATCTGCAGATTGCAATGTCCAAATGAAGTAAAGAATTTCAAATTTTTGGCAGGGAGCGGTAGCTCATGCCTATCATCTCAGCCCTTTAGAAGGCTGAGGGTGGGAGGATTGCTTCAGCCCAGGAGTTTGAGACCAACCTGGGCAACATGTAGTGAGACCCTGTCCCAGTTAAAAAAAAAAAAAAAAAGAAAAAATTTCAAATTTTTACCTAACAAAATGAAATCTGAGTTGAAATCTACTGAAATAGTATTAGATTTTCCTTTCACCTTCTATAGCTGAAATTTTATTTTGAAGGATGTCAAAAGAATAAATAAGTATATAAGAATATGGATTTGCTTCTTTCAAGTGTTTAAAAATTATTTCTCATTTTACTACTGGTCAAAAACTTGTATTAACTTAAATGTTTGGCATCTGGCTCATAGTTTCTAGCATGTAATAGGCACTCAGTAAAAGGTTTTATTAGTTCAGCTGGAAATTTAAGTTAATAAAGTAACATGAATAAAAACAAAAAACAAACCAGGATCACCACAACAAAAACACCTGGCACAAAGCTCAATTTAGACAAAATACAATAAAGGATGAGTTCTTGCCTTCCTCCCTCTCACTCCTGCCTCTGAACGTTTCCTATGTTTCATAATTTTGCTGCAAGAATCCCCTACTGGGTTCCTTTATTTAAAACCTCAGGTTCGTTGGTTCTCAGAAAGTGCAAGGGATTATAATTAAATGTCCACAAATAGTCTTTCACATTAGGACCAGTGGGAGATAAATAGAGTTAGTCAAAATGTGTCAGGTCCCAAGGTTGGTCACTTTTCCCATTATGCCTTGAGATCTGCTAAAACCTTTGTTTTAATGAACTTTGACTGGAGTGTTGCGAAAGGAAATGAAGCATGGTATGTTGATGGAGAGTTTGCTTCAGTATTATGTTCTTTCTCAAAATACACTATTTTGTTCAGGACTAGCGTAATCCTAGTATGAACTTAGCCATAATTATATGACTCCATTTACCTTGTGCAATTAACTGGATAATTGCATGAATGTGAACATTGCTTTGGCCAGCCTTTCCTCCATATATTCCGCAGGGGACATCCTCTTCAGCTGCAATGTAGTCTTCTGGGATCTAATTATGATGTCTCTTGGAATCTGGCCCACATACAAGAATTCAAGCTGGTTTTCCAGGGTGGAGACCATGAAGAAATCCCAATCGGATTCACTGGAATTCATTTGTAAACATCATGCTATTCGACTGTACCGTAATGGAGTAATTCATTATGATTTTAATTTACACACTAAAATTGAATGCTAAAATATGTGTTGACCGTCCAACTTCTAGTTCAGCATATCTGACCTGATATACTTAGTGAGTGTTGACTGATATGTCTATAAGGTTGAGAGGCCCTATTGTGTTGTTAATGAGACAAGGTACTTGCTCTTGTTATGGGTTTACAGCAAGTGGTTCCAGAAGGAAAGAAGGGCCAACATTCTTAACTTAGAGGTTAAAATACATTATTTCTTCTCAAGGTGAAAGAAACTTGTAGCAATGGTCTGAACTTCTAAAACACTAGACAGAAAAATTGAAGATGAGTAAACCTTTACTCTATATTTTGACTGAGTGGAAGAAAATGTCACTTTTCATATTTCCTCAGCTTGTCTTATTAAGGCTTAGAAAGAGACCACTGATGTTGATAGCCACAGCATTCTTCCGGGAGAATTATGTTTACATGGATTCAAGATTTTTAATTCATCGAGGACAAAGTACTACCACTTGTGAAGTCATTCACTATCCAAACTCATCTTCTTCTTAAAAAAAAATATTTGCCAGGGAGAGTAGGATGTGGAGGGCTGATATGTAAAATGAAAAAATATGGCTAGATGGATGCCAGTACATAATTGGGAACAGGTGTTAATCAGTCAATCTAGTTATTTAGCTGTAGTTGTATACTTGATCTTACAGCTCAGAGTGGTGGCAGCTGCTTGCTTTTGCTAATCCCTGGATTACTTTACCTTATTTTCACTTCTATACCTTGACCCTGTTTTGTTTCTTAGCCTTTGTATCACCTATGTAACTAAATTCCTTGTATTATATTTTCACATTCTTGTTTGCTCAGTTGAACTCTGAACGATGAGAATGAGTTTTACTAATGGAAAGAAAGAGTAGAAAACAGTTGAAGAAGAGAAATAGAGCTGTATTATAATTTATGGATTGACAAGGTGTATGTTTAGGACTGGCCTGTGAGCTGTTACTTTTTTCTTTCTGCTGTTTACCTAAGTCACTGCTCACTTGCAGTAGTTCGAAGGACTGGAGGTGGACATCTGAATTTGTCAAGTCCTCAGTGGTGGCTCTTACTAGAGACTTTCATTCCTGCTTTGTCATTTGACCCTCAGTAAGTTTGGTTTTCCTCCAAGAGGATACAGAATTTGTCCACTGAAAGGCTCCTGTATTTTTTGGTTAGTGCAATATGTGGAGAAGAAAGAAGGAATTCTTAACTGTTCAATGTAGGAAATTAAATATTCAATCCAAATGAGTTCTCTTGTTCCCCATAGAGCTGCATTTATGAAATTCAGACTGATTTAGCATGTGTTTTTGCTTCTTCAACCAAATCATAATATTAATAATTTTTCTGCATACACTTTGGCTGAAATTTTCTCTATAAATGAAGCTCCTTCTAAAATGACTTCCTTAATGTGATGTTAGATGTGATTAGTTCACTGAAAAGCCACAGAAAATATTTATATGATCAACATTGTAAAAGTTGTACCTCAGATGCTGTCACATCACATGAGTACTCCATAAAAGGCAATGCAAATGCTCTTTCCATCTATGCCTTAAAGGAGACCGAAAGAAACATGATGGTCTCAGCTTCTTTATTATAAAAGTTGATCCTTTGGTAAATTTTATTAAAGAATAATTTACTGAATTGGAAAAGAAAATAAAAAATAGGTATGTCATCCAATAATTTGTCCTCTTTATGCTAAGAAAAAAAAAAAAAAAACCTCAGCATAATTGGATGCCTTTTTAAAAATCCAGATTTTCTGTAGTTTTAAAGCACACAGTCATTTGAAAGACAATCCAGTGTCAAATATTTTGTAGAAGTTGAGAAATTGAAAGCCAAGGTAGAAACCAAGGTGGACCTTGTATCTATCTCAGGGAGCAAGCCCACTTCTCTGAGACAATTATGAATTGTTAGTTGCCTCCAATTTAAAGTATTTATGTTTCATATAAAAAAATCCCGGGTTAAATGGAACTCAGATGACCTAGGACTGACATTAGGAACCCCTTTACATGAATTAGAAATAGGACGTGCAAAGCCAAACAGGGGCGACCAAGTGGATACACAAGCTTTCTTTGGCTCACAGAAGGACTTGCACAGCCAGATGCATTAACACTCTGTGGGCATACATACAGGAACAGCCTTATGTCAGTGTCAGGTGCCAGGCTGCTGATGGTGTATTAGAAATCATCTGATAGGTGGTAACACAAATCCGGGTTCCTCGTAAAATAAGTTTACATGGTTTTTTTTGGTAGGAACCAACACCAGGTTGGACAGTTAATGAGCTCCAGAGCTGTTTATTGGTTACTCCTAGGGAGCCTGATGAAGTAGTTCAGTCAAGCTGAGATGCCGTTTGGCTGGTGCAGGGAACCTACCCAGCCTTACTGCTGTTTCCTCTCACATTATGGTAGATATTTCCCTTACCCAGAGGTCTGCTTTCTTGTTTGTTTGTTTATTTAGGGGGTCCATTGCATGGAAATTGATGGGGTTTGTTTGTGTCTTTATATATATGTATATTTTAATCACATTTTGTTGGCAAAGGAGAAGAGGGGATTGGTTAGCTGGATGGCATTAGGTCAAAGGCAGACGGGGAAAAAATAGTCTTGGCTAAGGGGTCCCAGGCAGCTAATGGGTCCCAGGCAGCTTGCAGAAGGCTGTACTGAGAGAATGAAAGATAAGCAAATTTAGCAAGTGCGGGGAGAGGAAGGAGCACTTCCTCCTGGCAATTCTCAGAACTGTTTCTCAGCTATTTACTTCCTATTTTGATACCTAGAGCAACAAGAAACAAGGCCTCTGGAGCAGCCTTTGACTGGCCTTGTCCTGAGCTTGTTTATCCACTGCATCTGTCAGGAAGCAATTATGATAAGGCCTCTGGCACTGGTCTGGAAGTTTTTTTTTTTTTCTATTTTCTGTGTGACTTTTGATTGATCATGTTGTACACACAGAGCTCTATTCTTGGATTGATTTATTAACAAGCTTCAAAAGAACCTCCACCATTTAGAGGGTTTTTTCCTTTTGCTTCAGAGGAAACGCATTATTTACACCTTTACATAAGGGCATTCTCCAGGCTTTCAGTTCAATAACTAATGAGGATGGAGTGACTTGTGTCTAGGGATCAATGCCCCCATGTCTAGATGTATTATATATGTGTACACTTGACACTTAATTTATTGTACTGGAGTGGATTTGTTTTATCTGCCGGGAAAGTAAAAGATGAAAGGCTTCTTGAAGAAAATGCTGGTTTGGACAAGTCACTTTAAGACTCCAGGGCTTATTCAAAGGATTTCTATTATTTTATTATATGTTAGGGAGATTGCTCTTATTTTCTTCCTGAAACCACTTCCCCTCCCACAGCTTTCCCTTTGCAATCACCCCAAGCTATACCACGTTGATTTTGTGTCATTGGTTTCATGTTGGATTGGGTCTGCATTTGGAATCTGCCTGCTTTGGACCAGAAATTTGATTTGCTTGGCCCCACTTGAAATATTGTCAGCACTCTGTGCATTAAGGGCTCTATAAAAATATGAAATAATAACCACTGCTTTATGAGCTGAAAACAGCTTTTCTCACCACATTTACTTCTCAGTGGACAACAGTAATTTCCACATTTAAAAGACAATCAATATTAAGCATCTTTCATTATCTCCATGCTACTTCCACTGAAATGGACATAATGAGAAATTGGAAGCATCTTATTTCTCTCTGTTTGCAGATGATACAGACTCAATGAATGCTTTTCAAAATCGTAATGAAAAGGATACACATTCTTCCCTGCAGTGAGGATGCTTAGATGAAAAATTTGTGTTGTCTGGCAGCTGCTATCACTTGTCATGTTTATTTTTACTTCTATACCTTGACCAATAGCAAGGGAACAAGGAGAATAGACCACTGATAAAATTAGTTTCTTTTTAGAAAAAAGTGTGACCTTCTTGTTACTCAGAGTAGCTTTGGTTTCTGGAAAATAGCATCTCAAATTCTGCGGAGTCATCAGATAAGGCAGTTGATTAAACAAACAAACAAATTGGGCATGAGCAATAATTATACAAGGGCGATGTGGTGACAGCCAATGAGATCCTCTCATGAAGTCATTATTCAGTATGGCCAAGTGCCATGTGGAGTCAACAAATGTTAGTCCAAATTTTGCTGTTTTATTCTTAAATTACTGCTGTGTAATAAACTGGGACACAATACTGAATTTTTCAGAAGACTAATTTTTTTAAAAATGTGATTATTTTCTATTAATGGGGTTAAAGCCTTTTATGAAATGATTGTAAGGGTAGTAACTAATGCATCAGTGAACAACAAAAAGTGTTTGCTATGATGCCAATTGAGTAAAATTTTACAAATATTTAACAGAGCACATTATAGATATCTCATTTACTAGGACCCCAAGGAAGAGGAAGGTTACCCATGATTGGTCATGAGCTGACAAGTAGGATTTCTGGAGGCAATACCTCAGTTATATGACCTGCTTCTTACCCCTGGTGCCCATGATTATAATAGAGCATAAACTGCAAAACACAGGGCAGCTGCTCCTAGTCCAGCGACAGCACAAGTCTCTGTTGTGTATTCAGACTTTATTCCTAAAGAGTAGCTTTCCTGGATCCATGAACAGCTCATCGGTTCTAAAAGCAAGGTCTGCAGCCTGAACTCTCCGAGCATGGGCTTTTTGGGTAATGATACAGTATTTGGATCTGTGGTGTTACTTATCCTATTATGGGATATAGATAATATACTTTGTGGTGACGCTGAGAAAGGAGCATTGACTAGCACACCCAGGAGACCTGGGTTCTCCTTTCGGTACTGTTTTTAATCTGCTAGTGTCACTTGCTTGTGCTTCGGTTTCCATTTGTAAAATGAATGACAGAGTTGGTTGAGGTCAGTGTTTCTGGTCAGGATCTGTTTGCCGTATGCTTCATGCTCAAAAATGCCTGTTGAAACACAGATTCCCGGGTCTATCTTGCCCCTATTGAATTAGAATT